AAAGAGCTAAAGAGTTGCTTCGCTTGGCCACAAGTGGTGAACTGCCGAATTTGGTTTTCTCCGATGAGAAAACATTCGTTGTCCAGTAGTTTGTGAACAAACAAAATGATCGTGTTTACCTGGTCAGCTGAAAATGTGCACCTTCGGTTGGCCACCAGAACTCAAGCCCCGGCCATGGTGATGGTGTGGGCCGCCATAAAAGCCGATGATCGCTCTCCGACAGGTCACAGCAAGAATGGTTACAAAATGAGGTTCCTCGCTTCATTTCCAACACACAAAGACCACCAAAATCTGCGGATACCAATCCGTTGGACTATTTTGTCTGAAGTATTTTGGAAAGCCTTTTTGGCACTAAAAAATACCAAAGTGTCGATCACCTCAAGCATGCGCTTCGCGGGGAATGGGCCAAAACACCGCAGAGCAACATTCGGGTAGCGTGTGACGGTTTCATTAGGTGTTTGAAGGCCATAATTCGTGCCAAAGGTGATCAATTCGAACAAATCTAAACTTATTCTAAAATTTGATGCTATTTCCGACATTTTCTGCTTTCATTCAATGAAATTAAAAAAAAAAAAATGTAAAAATTATGACGTTTGACTTTGTGGCAGTTTTTTTATCTCACCCTGTGAGCATAGCTATTTGAGCGAAACTCGAAATTAATTTAGCCTGGGATCTTTACTCTGTGAGAACCACATTCTGGAAACCACTGAGGTCCTGTTCTTGGTCAAAACTAGTTCGATCTTTTTAATCTCGTATTTACATACCGGAGTAATATATTCCGTAATACATGGTTCTTATTTTATTTTGAGAAAGTTTAATTTACTCTAGAAGGATACGAAGTATTCGAAGCCAATAACGAAAATGTTCACACAGAGAAGATTAATTTCTACCTTGTCCTACAGCTGAAATTTCGACATTTGTTTCTTTTTTATTTTCAAGCCATATCTTCCCTCGCTTTTTGTGACGCACAAAATGAACAACAACAACAGAAACATAAAATAACTTCAGTTCGCTCCAAAAATCCAATTTTAAAAAAGAAGGCGAATTTCAGTATCAAAACAAAACTGAAACAGATTATCAAAACAAAACATATCAAAAATATGCCCTCGAACCTTAATGGACAGGCGGGCTCGGATCGATGTAGATGGCCAAAACAAAGCATTCCAACCGGTCAAGCCACAAGAAGAAACCGAATTATTGTTGTCTACTTCTCATGCCGATGATGACGTTGGGGAAGAAAGTAAGCGTTCCCACCGGCAGTGGATGAAAAGAAAACTGAAACCAAAATACGAAACCGGCCGGACGGACGGACGGCGAAATGTTACGTAGGCAAGCAACGAACGACACAACCGCATACCAACCGTGTACCGGGTGCACCTTACCAACGAAGCCAAGCCGTTGGCATTCGGTTGCGTCCATAAGTGCGTACATGCATACCGCCTGCATGTGTATGGAAATGTGTGCGTGTGTGTGTATGTTCGAGCAGCAGGAGTTCCAGAGAGGTAAATGAGCAACGAGGTTTGGATTCGACGTTACGGCATGGCACGGTACAGTTTGTATGTTTATGGCAAAATGTCAACAACTTTTCAAACGTCAGTTGATTGTTTACTATTGTGGGTTTGTTTGTTTACTTCTTTCTGCTCGGCTTCCCTCTGCGCCTCCTCATCTTCGGCATCAGCATTTGCCCTTACCCCATGTCCATTAAGAAAAAGTGTTGTGTTGCCCTGGGCAAATCGGTGTGAGGGCTGGCGGGGGCAAAACGAGGTTATGTGTTTACTTCTTTGTTTTTTTCTGCCTTCAAAAGGTAAATAAAGCAATTTTGGAGTCAGGTTTCTTGAATGGTTCTTTTGGCATGCCTTTTATCGAAAGATCGAGCCCAGCACACCATCAACATCACCTTCGTCATTGGTATCGGCGGCATCATCATCATCGTCATTACCACCAGCGAGTCATTATCGCAGGAGATTGCCTTCACATTGCCCTAATGAAACCAATCAATGTTCTTCACTTGTTCCTCAGAGAACAACATTCCATTTGAATTTTAGGGGATGTCGTCGTCGTCATCACCATCACCATCGTCGTCGTCGTCGTCGTTACCAGCCGATATCCTCTTTCCATTGGCAGCTAAATCATCATTGTCATTGCCATCTGCGCCAAAGTAGTTGATGGAATTTTAATCCTCGGCCTGTTTATCGCACATTTTAATCTAACAAATCCGAAATTTGTAACACTCATTCAGTGGGTTTTCAATGGCAATGGCACAATGTGCCGGCATTATGATGTTCTTTTCAATTCGTGTGATTTGTTTTCTTTCGCTTTTCTTTTTTTTTTTTGGTCTTAACCACCAATTGAAGTATTGTTGTTGTTGTTTGACTGGGGCAATTATTTAGTTGAATGTCTTGATTCGCTATTGTATCGCTCGACAAAGAGAAGAAAATCAATTTTTTCCGTTTGCAGGAAATACGGGTTCAAGTGATAAAATCGACGACTTTCCTGCCAATGATAAGGCGAACTTGGGGTCCTATAAGTACTTGTAATGATGGTATGTAGCTAACGCAGAATCATGACTGACGTTTGTAAAAGATAAGAGTCCTAATTTGAATCTAAATTTTGGTTATTTGACAAATTTATACCCTGAAAACTTAAAAATATATGCTCTGTTCGAGAACCTGCAAGAATCTACTAGTTTTACAATTTTTCCCGATTTCATAAAGGGAAAATTGGTTAAATTAGTAAATAAGGGTACATTCTTGCAGTTTTGAAACAGACCTATAGTTTAGAGACAGAGAAGTATAAAGATAGGGCTTTGAAGAGTCTAAATATTGTCACAAGGTGGATTTACCTCTGTTGCTGTTGTCCGTTGTTGTTGCAAGGCATGTTAGCCAATTTTAACAGCTAACCAAACTGTCTAAAAAATTTTATGAAATAGAATTTTGAACCCGAAATTTTATGTTTACTGAAAATTTCAGTTCTCTTTAACAAAAATTTGTCCCAGATTTTTTATGGGTCTATGTTTGGAGTCTTAGAATCGAAAAAAATTTAATAAAATTCTATAAAGAATCAAAAGGTACAATTCATAACGAAACTCCGCTAATTAGGTGTTTATATGTGTTTATATGTCGAGATTATGAGTCGAACATTTTGTGACTTGAAATATTTGTAAAGAAAATGAAAAAGTTTATTTTAACATCAATTCTAATCAAAGTATAGTTCAAAAAAGCATCACTTCTAACCTCTCCAAACCAAGTGTAAAAATGTTCCGGACCACTGCATTCAATCCGGGGAAAAAGTTAACAAACGGTTTCTAATTACAGCCATATCACACACATCCCATATTCACGTACTGTGTGTCAATAACTATCAATGATATTCTATTGAAACGACCCGACCGATCGACCCTCCACAAGTTGGTAGGAAGGCTGTTCGAAGCGTTGTTGAAGACACAGATTTCCTACTTATTTTTTGTTGTTGTTGTTGGCAGCAAGTGAATGTGCTGCCCTGCTCACAGCTCGTTTATTCATATCTCGACATTCTGAAGGAGGAAATTCTACATTTACCCAAAACACAAAACGTGACTGGCATGCCGAAGAACCAAAATCTGGCAGTGCCGAATTTCCAAAATTTAACATAGACATCGTCTATTCATATTTTTATGTGGCATGTTGTATTTAATTTTTAGCCGCTACAACTTTCAATAGTTTTGTCTATTTCTTTTCTACAACTTTCAAAAAAACGGTTTGTTGTATTCTTTTCGCTGGAACTGCATGGCAAACAGCGAGAAAGAAATTCGAGGGGGAAGTGAAAGAATAACTCCAATTTAGCAGTGTTCCAATCCTCCAATAAACTGTACTTGGACTTTTCTTTTGCACGCTCTCTCTCTGTCTCTCCTTCTCTCTCTCGGTCAGCAAGAACAAGTAAAAATAGGGGAAAGAAAAAGCTGGGCAAAAATCATGTTGCCAACCAGCCACCCAGCGCTGTAGTGGCTGGTGTTTTAACTGGATGAATGGCTGTTTGGCTGGCTATTTGGCCTCGGTGCAATCTTTTGAAGGGAGCACACAGTAGAAAACTCATTGTTTCCAGCTACAAAAAACACCACTTTTATTGGTAACAGTTTTTGGCCAAAAACAGCTGAATCAAACACTGAAACATGCATGTCTGTCTGTCTGGCTGCGTTGTTCTATTCAGGCCATGTTGGGAGTAATACATGAATGTGGCTTTTACAGCCGGCCATATTTCAATGCGATAACCCCACTCTCCTTGTTGCTTGGCGCGCTCACAACAGCAACAACGACAACCAATGGAAAAAAGAGAAAGGGAAAACTGTGTTTTCAGTAGAAAACTGACAAGAAACAGCAAACAGCCATAGAATACAAAACAGAAAGTCCATCGTAGAAACCAAACACCGAGAACAGAACAGAACCGAACCGGACCGGACAGAACCAAACCGAAACAAACCATTTTACCAATGTTTAGGTCACTGAACCGAAATGGATGTTGTTTTAACGTTTTTCCCATTCTTGCCGTTTGTTTTGGTCGCTGGTTCTGCCGCCGCCGCCACTACCGCCTTTCAAACATTAATAAAACAACAAGAACTGCAGTGGCAGCGAACGGCCAACTACCAAAGGGAAATACGAATCTGACCACGGCCAAAAAGTGTTATTAATAATGGACGATGGGGAAAAGAGGAAACGAACCGAACTGTTTGTTCATGGCATGGCCTGGCATACGTAATGAATGGGTGATGGCGGTGGCCGTGGCGGCGGTGCGGATGATGATGTTGGCCCGCCATCCTCGTCCTTTACGTTTTCTCTAAGTTTTATTGTATCTACTTTTGAAACAAAACAAAAAAAAGGAGTCCAAAACTTTTGGCCACTTTTTTTTGTTTTGGCTTTCGATCTTGGCAATCGGAAAAGGGAATTTACAACCAAAAATTATCGTTTTTCCATTAAAATGATGTTTATCTAATGGCTATTTTGTTATTTTCTTTCTTTTCGTTGCAGATTCCACTACGGCATCGTCGGTCATCGGTGTAATAAAATTGAAAAGAAAAAGAAATTAAAAGTAAAGAAAAATAAGATTGCAAAAAAGTGAAAAAGAAAAAAGAAAGAAATTAAATTAAGCTAAGAACAAGGGCTAACGGAAGTCAAAAAAGAAGAAGAAAGAAAAGAAAAATAGAATTTATGCTCGTAGTTTTACTATCTGTCAAGTGTAGTCCATAAAAATTCGCCACCACGGAGTCCTGGGATTTACATAGTATGGACCTCAATATGGATATATTACCGAGTGGGAATATTTTCAGCGAATTGGAACGCATCTGCACAACCGGCTATTTCTCATCGCAACCATCTATCGAGGATCAATGGCAACAGGTGAGTTTATATTACATTTCTAAGCGGGGTGATATCTTCAGGAATCAAATTTTAACATTTTTTTCGGTACATAGATTCTGGTTAAAAATATATGAATGAAGTAGATTTAACTCGAGACATTAATTTTCCCATTTTTTATTTATTGTTAATATTTTGTCGAGGAATAGCCTTTCATGACAAACAGATTGAAGTGTTTAAGAAATTGTTTAGTCAGAGAAAAGATCCGCATGATTTGCCCGACATTATCCCTCAACAGATGCATTTTCTGTTTTTTTTTTCATTTTCATGAAAATGGGTTAACCAAACATTGTCGGTTCCTCTGCTCAATGCCCAATTACACAAAAATGCTTAAATGACTTTGCAGGCATTCTTTGCCCCCTTCCCCTTGCTCTGCAAGGCAAACCAATGCTGGTGCATCGTTGGACACATTTGTCGAACGAAGAAGCTTAAGTAAACTCCATATTTTTGTATACATTATTCATTCGCTTTTGAAATGTTAACACTTGAAATTAACACTTTGTTCCCATGGAAGAATAAGGAGGGGGATCGGGGACATATGAGCAGATAGGGGCGACATCGAACAAATCCGCTTTGAATGTTTTTCTTTCCAATTTGGGAGAAATTCAATGCATTGGAATTTGTTTGTTTAGAAGAAATGTTTTGTTATTGTTACTGTCTTCCTTCTCTACTTCTCAAAAGCGAATACAAACATCAGGGACATGGAGGGAGAGAGAGAGCATGTCTCTCTCTTCCTCCTCTACTTCTCAAAGGCGAACACAAACATCAGGGAAAAGGTAGGGAGAGAGAGAGAGCTTGGAAATGGGCCAAACATTCAAATTGGAAACGTTTTAGTTTATGTTCTCTAATGCTGGTGCCGGAGGACGATGGACCGACCTTTCCTCGGCCTATTGAAATTATTTTTGAAATGTAATTATAATTTGCTACTGTTATGGCTGCCTGCCGGCCTCTGTAGGTAGGTGGCTAGCTAGCTACGTACACACATACAGACAGGCATACTGACTGACATACACTGGTAGGGAGGATGAGCAAATTGGAAAACATTCAACAATAAAATAAACGACAAATAAGTAAACAAACAAACGCCAGAACGGAAGTCAACGGAAACAAGAAAAACATCCGTTATTTTACGCTCATTAATTATGTTGGTTCATTTTTCTTGTTATTCTTACAAAAAACAAAAAAAAAAGCAACAACAACAACGACAAAAAAGTACACAATTACTGTGTTCGGGCAAAAGTTTTTCTCGCTCTCGCCCGATTCGTCTGTTTACATTTCTATTATGAATAATTGAAACATTTCACAAAAGTATGAAAATAAAAATTGAATTTTGTTGAAAAACGATTCGCCAAGACTTTTCCACACAAGAAAAAGTAACTATTTATTTTTTACTTCGTTTAAATGTCAAGGTATTATTTCAACGAATTGTGGAAATATTTTCAAAGATAGATAGATGAAGGGCCTAAAAGGGCCTCGATATTCAATATTGCCTTTTTTGTTTCGAAAATATGCATCGGCCAATTTTTACAGTTTTGTGGAAAGAAGTAACGAAGAGGGCCATGCAATTTTAAAAATTTCCTTGGGCTCGATATACCCCTCTATAAAAATCCAAAATGGCATTACTTTCGAAAATCCTAAGATGGAAAAGAGCACCAATTGAGCCAGAAATACCTTCAAAACCGCTTTTTGAGGGGGGGGGGGGGGTCAACCGAAAAAAATAGGATAACCATTTCATAGGAGGTTCGTCCAGTATCTCACGAATAAATGATGCAATGTTGCCTTCGAATTCGTCAATTGAAGTGGACTCGCCAGTAAGGACATGAGATTTAACTTTGCCCCACAAAATAGTCTAAAGGCTTTAAATCACACGATCTAGAAAGCCAATTGCCAAACTCGCCTCTCAATGAGTCCATTGTTACGAGTGCTGTGTGGCATCTGGCACCATTGAAACCCTATGTCATGCTTTTGTATTTTGGAAAAAAAATGTCGGTAGCGCTCAACATTCAACGTTACGTTACGTTACGATTCGCAGCATCTTTGAAGATTTACGGTCCAATCATGTCACCAACCCGCTTAAAAATCGGCGTTTTCTGGATGCATTGGTAGTTTTTGCAATTCATTTGACGGATCCTCACCCCAAAATCGATAATTCTGTTTATTAACGTACCCATTGAGCCAAAAATAATCTTCGTCGCTAAACACAATTGTTTGATGAAAAAAGTGGATCTTCGACCAACTTCCCAAGAGCCCATTACCCCCAAATTCTCCGTTGCGGTATGTCGTTCGGCTTTAATTCTTTCACCATTTTTATATTTTGAAAGGATTTCCACCTAAATCCTACCGCAAAATTGTCCACGTTGTTGCTGCTAACAGCTACGAATCGATAGTTTATGGTCATCATTAAAACCGATGACGATGTAGCTGAGATATCTTCGCTGTTTGCACTCTAGGCGAATGTGTTGGTGGTTTAATGTCCAACAATTTAAATTTGATGCGAAAATTATTTTAATTCTCTCCATTAAATTTTGCAACCCTTTCGATATATAAGCAATATGAAGGTGGTTAGTGGTTCAAATTAACTTTTCACACATTACTCTCATAATTATGGTTCCATGTTCTTCCACTTCGAGGCCGACAATTGCTGAAGCCATAGCACACTTGACCCCCGAACGATAAATAGACATGGAAATGAGGACACCTACATATTTACCGGATTGAAAACTCGCATCAATGATTTACTTATTTTTTTTTAATCCTTCGCGGACCAAACTTGGGTTGGAAAAATAAAATACAAAAGAGAATAAAAAGTTCATTCTGTCTGCAGGAAAGAAAAATCTCGTTATATCAGTGAATGTCTCTGGATTCTGTATTTGACTTATTATCATCTAAACTTAAAGGCATATCTCCTTTCATTAAAAAAGAATTTAGGAAAAATCCATCCCGATCTCATTTCCTCGTAACTAATTTTACAAATCCTTGCAGGAACAGCTGTTTTTTTTTGTTCAATATTTCTTTATTAATTTATTTGGAAAGTCCACCCTCCGAAAATGTCTTTGAAATCTTATGACAATTGTTTGGGAGAGTCATTTTGCTATTATTTGCCAGCATTCAGTTGCGATAATTAAGTCGAATGTTCTATTTTTGATTTATAGATTCGACGATAAGGTCCAGTCTCTTGGACATTCAACATTTGCACAATCGTATTTGTTAAGAATGTCTAGCAGTCCCTAAGTCGTATCTTCTGCACACACTTGCATTTATATCTACAAAATGTATACGAATATGACTTTGTTGTAAATTGTAATTGCTTTTGTATGTTAATAAATTCCATAGCATATTTTGCTACAAGTGGAGTGCTCTCGTTTAAATGCAAATACCCAGTTACTATGGCCAAAGATGTATTCTCTCGTTCTGGCATTCTGGCGAATGTGTGTGTGCCTGTGTGCAATTCTCTGTATCTTTTTCTTGTTGCACAAAAGGATGCTGCAAATCTTAAGAACAATTTAAAAATGTTACCACAAATGTGTTATTATATCTTGGAATCCATTTCATATAAAACTATCTCCAGCACACCAACACACATACACACACACCCAGATGGTAGTTGTATCTATTTATGTGTTTTCACACATATTTTTACCAGTCTGTGCCACCCATCCATTCACTTGCTATCCTCCATCAAGGAGGATAAATACTACTTACTCGCAAGAGAATGTTTGCTCCCTCCCGGATGGCAGTAGCAGCAGCAACTTGAGAATTTATACATATTTGCTGAGGAAAAAATTTTCAAATAAACATTTGTTTTACAATGTGCGTACATAGTGCCAAGAAATTATACAGTTTGTAGTTTGTTTTTATTATTCTGAAATATAAACAAAAACACGCACACACACAGAGTTACACACTTTTTTTAATTGTTTATCTACTCGTGTGTTGATGTGTCTGCCACTGCCAGCCACTGCGACTCTGGCTGTTGCTACTTGCCTAGCCTTGCCATTTGATGCTGCTGCTGCTGCCGAATGATACTTTTGCTACTTCTGCTGCTAACGGTGAAAAAGGTTGCAACTTTCAAGTCAATATTGCAGTTCATAATAGAGTCTCTGGCAATGTTATGTGGCAAGTGGTAAATATTTTGATTTTTTCACTTCGTTTGCTGTAGTTGTTTTTTTTTCGAAATTTCAATAGAAATTTTTTGTAAAATACAACAACTGTTAAATGAAGTTCTCAACACAAAAATTTTAGTTGAAGGACCATCCTAGCCAGTAGAGATAACAAAAAGCAGTTCAATGTAAAAAAAAAAAAAAATAAATATAACTAAGTGGAATTGAATGGAATAGAATTTATTTTTATCGTACGCCATGGTGGCAAGTAAATTTAAATAATTTCAATATTTTTACAGAAAATCAATGGGAATCGCTTAAAAATGAATGGTATTTAAAAAAAATGTTTTAACAATTTATGTAACATAAGTGATGATGAAGTGATAGGTCAATGTATAAAAAAGTCGCTCGAGTAATTTTGAGGGATAGTTATTTTTTTGTACTGCAAAATATATAGAATTAGAACAAATAAAATAATTATAGATTTTTAGAAAATCTCAATACCTTCAAAATTCAGTTTTAATTCCCTCAGCCATATATATCATATAATGGGACCTAAACGTGGCTCATCGAAATAATGGGTTTACACTCTTGGTTTCTTTATTTTAACCAAATCCTACTTAGCACATTTGATCCAAACATGGTACATCGTTATATTATTGTCAAACTTAGTTCGAGTTCGGAGATGGACAATATCGGCCCACTCCTTATAGTACCTCCTCCACAATAAGGTCAACATTTTCAAAGCAAATAATAATAAAGAGAAACGATCATTTAATAGTGGCAAACATGGAAATTCCAATATTTTTGTCAGTGCTAAGTCAGGTGCGAATATGACCAATATTGACCCACTACATCAAGTACCTCCCCCCCAATGGTCAA